ACTTGGCCTGGCTCAACGCACTTCAGCAACAAGTCACGAAAGCGACGGTAGCGAACTGCGTAGTCGCGCTTACTGAACGACGCAGACCGCAGTCTCATCTATGAGGCCACGTTGCGGTGGAGTACAGGCCAATTCGCGGTGAGTCAGTTGCAGGAGAAGCTGGGCATAAATCCCAGCGGGGCAGACTGCACTGTATAACTTCCGCCGAGGATGCTGTCAACCCCACATCACGATATGCATCTGGTATGTTTGGCTTTTGTACAACGAAGAGGGTATGTCGCGCAACCCTGCAGTGTGAGGCATACTCCTTTCAACATGCGGCACAACACGGAGATCGCATCAGGGGCCGCATTGCTGGAGGTACAGGGAAACCTCCCCATGTCACAGCACTGGGAGGACATCGCACGACGCAGTACTCTGCGCATATACAGCTCGCGGATTACCTGACCAAGTCCATGAAACCACGCGCTGTGCAGGTCAAAGACGTTCCAGCAGAGGCAGCAACCGACGCAGAGCCGCCGAGAGGAGAAGAGGCAACGCCTGAATCAAACGCTTGAGCTTCGCACAGTCTAACGCGTGCGCTGACGCCAGCCCGACAAAGCTCGGAGCGGCCGAAAATGGCCAATGCTCGTGCATGTTTCTGTACGCCACACGAAGATAAGACGGGTGTGAAATTCACCTTTGTTCTGGCACCGTGTTGGCGTACACCTGTATGTAGTAGCTCCGATGATTTGCTGTCTGTATACAGACTGGTCATTGATGTTGCTTTGTACGTGCAGTCGCACATGTGTTACATGATGCAGGCCCCTTTAGCTCGAGTGCACAAGTAGCGTTGGTTACTGTGGTGTGTGCACCCGCTTTCCTCGTTTCTGCTTGGAAGTTCGAAATGTTTTGCCCTGAGAGAGAAAAAAGTCAGTATATGACCTACTCTGGATGGAAGAGTCTACCGAACTGCTGGGAGGACATCGGCAATCATTGCGGTGAGACGCCATTGTACCTCGCTGCTAAGCAGAATCGTCATGAGCTCCCTGGCAGGACAAAAACCGTTTAGTGACGTGCTAATGTTGCTAGCAGGTGGAATGGCGAAACCAGTGTCGCGGCACTCAACGCTGAGGGCATTTGTGCCAACCACGGGAATCTAGATACCGGAGCACTGCAAGTCAGACTTACAGCATCCTTCGAGACAGCCTGCGAAGCCTGTGCCACGCCAAGGGTGGTCCAAACCCTTCTGGACGCGAAGGCCTGCAAGGACGGGGTGCTCCGAGACATGTGATAAATTTGGACAAGCAACAAGGCACCAGGGACTGGCGAATGGCACCAACATCACCAGCTGTTTCAGCAGGGCATTTTCAAGCTGCCGTGAAAGGTTTCAAGGCGTGCTGGCTCTTGGACATGTGTGCAGCTGGTGAAGGACAAAGCAGCGTACGATGGCATGACACCTATACTGGTCGCAGCATCCAGCGGTCACGAGCAGCCACTTGGCAGGAGGATGTTGGAGTTTCTATGTTTTCTTGTTTGCAGCATCCGTTGCCCCTCCCACTGCGCCCCATCCCCCGCTTCCCCCCAACCCCCCCCTTCCTTCCACCCACCCCCGCCCTCCCACCCCGGACCCCACCCCGACCCTACCCCACCACCCAGCGCCCCCACCCGCCCCGCCGCCCCGCTACCCCCTAGCCGCCGCCCACCACCACCACCACCACCACCACCACCACCACCACCACCACAGCGAGAACAACAAGATTAACAGCAGCAGAACAGTCCGAGTGAATAAAGATATCGCAAGCATCAAGCCGCAAGAAACAAGTACATGCTAGCTCCACAAGTTCGTGCCGACGGCCACACAGCTCCCTACAGATGTTGTCAGTTGTTGATACTCGTAGGGGTTCATGCAGCGTTTTGTTTTTGAGGTTCTCGCTAATGTGGAACAGCACATACAATCCGTGCCAGCAAGGTCCTCGAAATGCAAGTAATCAGACAACGATTTCGGACAATGGCACATTGCGGAAAGTAGCAGTGGTTGTTATAGCCGACAGAGCTTTGCTAAGCAGGGATTTGCTTCTCCACGCAAGCTAGTGGGAGGACCGTGGCTGCCCTGCTACGAGCACGTGCCGCCAAGAATCGCAGCAATCTAGAATCCTGGCGAAAATCGACCGTCCCTACATTCGTGCTCACCTAGCCTGGTTCTGTTGTTGTTGCCGCTGCTACGGGTGTTGCTGGGTCCTTCGGTTTACAAGTTGGGCCTGGTTAGTCTGGTTGGTCTTGATTCAAACGAAGGGCAGCGGTGGCGGTGGTGGTGGTGGTGGTGATGGTGACGGTGGTGGTGGGTTGGCAGCAGCGTTGGTGATGTTGCCGCCGCTGATAGTTTGCTATTGTGGCTGTTGGGATTCCGGTGGTTGTTCTGCCGCTGCAGCCTATGCCTCCTCGTGTTGTATGACGTTCATATGTATATATATATATATATGTATATATATATATAGAGAGAGAGAGAGAGAGAGAGAGAGAGAGGCAGAATTGATAGATAAAAACAATTCTTAGGGGCCGCGCCCAGGCAGCGCAAGTAGAAGCCTGGAGCCAGGCCACGCACCCCCCTCCGCGTAACCCTTGCCTCAAAACCCAAGGCTGGGACACTGATGCGCGCCCTGGCTACCGTCCATGGCTCCCGACTCCAGCCCCCCAAAAGGGCGCGCATCATGAGCATCAGCGGCGCCAGTCCGGGATCCGGGGCGCGCATCAGGAGCATCAGCGGCCTTGGTTTCGGGGCTTAACGTTCCGGACCACGCCATCTGGAGCAAACAAGCTTCCAGTCGCATCCTTGGAACGGTACTCCATCACCGTGTCATGCAATTGCAATCAATTGCAGAAAGAGCTCGTCCGCGGCCAAAACAGGGTCGATCATTGGTCTTGGCCGTCATCTGACCCATGACGTTCTGAGCCGTGACACTATGCTCCAAGGGCTCCCAAACACCATGTCCCATGTAGAAGTCGCTCCTTGCAAGGCTGTTGCAGTCAACAACCTTAAACTTCTCGTCGATTTCGTGGGCAGTGTTCTGCGCATGCGTATGCTTCACATCCGGGTGCAATGAATGTTCGCTCATCCCATTCGCAACCATCTGGGGCATTTCAAGCCCTTTAAGGTCGTTCAGGTGCGTGCCCTTGCTCCAGGCTTCTACCTGCGCTGCCCGGCGCAGCCCCTAAAATCGGGCAGGGCCCAGTGATCAGCCGAGCTTGCTTTGCTAGCTTTGTGCAGCAAATGGCGCGACGCGGAGTGCCGCCGACCCCAGCAGATTTTGATTTTGTTTGCGGAATTAGCCATGGACATCCCCGCTGACCCTCGAAGATGGTTCGAGGCGGCTTGGGTGCCCTCTAGGGCACCTTCTGTCGGGCCTTCGGCGCGCATCATGAGCAAATGATGCTCATGATGCGTGCTGGGGGGTTCTTACGAGGGCATCCTAGACGATGCGCAAGATGCTAAGCCGAGCATCGGAGACTACCCACCCCCAGCTCGGTCACCCCAAAGGCAAGAATCGGGGAGGAGGGGCGACACGCAACAACAGCAACAACAACTTTCCGGCTTCGCCTCGGCCCCGGTGGCAGCGGCAAAGGAAAGGCGACAGAAAGGTAGCAGCAGCTTGTCGCTCCCTCCTAAACGCCGACACAGGGGTCGGCGCATATATATATATATATATATACACACACATATACATATATACATATACACACACATGATATGGGTTAGAGGCCGGGAAATGAATATGTACATGTATGTATGCATGCATGCATGCATGCATGCAGGCAGGCAGGCATGCATGTGTGTGTGTGTGTGTGTGTGTGTGTGTGTGTGGTGTGTGTGTGTGTGTGTGTGTGTGTGTATGTGTACGTGTGTATACATATATATATATATATATATATATGTATATATATATATATATATATGTATATATGTATATATGTATATATGTATATATGTATATATATATATATATAATATGTATATATGCATATATATATATAATATCATATATATATATATATATATATATATGCGCGCACAGTTTTTTTTTGGCGGTGGTGGTCGTCGTCGTTGCTGCTGTCATCGTCGTCCTTGTAGGACAAGGAAAATCTCCATCTCAGGTTTCGTTCTTTACAATGTAGCCTCGTGATCTACTAGCCAGGCGAACAACGCCATGCCAGCGTTAACATGCAGTCTAGGTGGACCGGCATTGTAGCGCGATTTTCAGTTGGGGGTGGCAAGTATGTTCAGCCCCCAGCCTGGTCGAATCCGAGAGTTTCGAAATTCCAAGCCGTCGGATGCCTATCCTGGATGTAGCAAAGGACGGGGAGACTCCGCTGTTTTTGGCTTCCAAGCAGCTCGGTCCAGCTTTCTGCATTGGCGGCCCAATGCCAGTGCGGGGACGTATGCTTATACGGCCGCGATAGGGCAAGACCCGTCTCAGAACGCGAAGCATTGCCGTTGCTGAACGTGTGCCCCTTGAAGATGTCCGGTAAGCTTGCCTGGAACGTCGCAGTACTATGCATATAGACTATGGACCTTTTCGACAGAGGCTGAGGTAGGATCCGAGCCAGCTCGCAGCTGCTTTTGCATGTCTGTCAATTTGACATGAACACTGAGGTGGGGTCACAAGGAAATTGTCCATCGTCTGCTGCAGGCAAATGCGGACAAGCACAAGGCGTGCTACAAATAGCTGTTGCCAGATAAATGCCAGACCCTGAGCATGCTAAGACTGTTCAGTACGATTTTCCGCTGCAGGCGACGAAATGTGGCGAGCTGCCGCTTTTCGCCGCAGCAAAGGCTTTGACCAGCGGGTTGCGTGTTCTGCTAAGTGCTGAAGCAGCTTTACAGTCATGGTGCCCCCTTGTATATGGCCAGACGTACTTTGTGTGTCTACTTCAATTGCTTCAATGTCTCTTTGGCATTTTTCTGTCGAGCCAAGTGTGTGCGTCGGCGTTGGCGTTGAGACGAGTAGCAGCTTGAGTTTTAAATGTACATGCCACATTGCGGCCACCTTGACGAACATGCCAGCTTGCTATCCCAAGACATGAAGGCACTCGCTGAGAGTTTCTCAGAAACCGTTGAGCCCCTCAACGTATGGAATAGAAAGCGAAGTCCCAGACCCTGGAGCCCAGAACTTCTCGGCAAGGAAGGCCACTTAGAGGTCGTCGCCCTTCTGACGGAGGGCCGAGGCGATCGAGAGGCACCGGTAGCTCTGTGTGCGAAACGTCAAGTACAGGGCGGGTGATATTGGGATGTGGTCAGGTTGGGGGTGTCGACACAGGATGCTACTACCCTCAGCCGAAGAAGGTTTCATTCGATCGAGCTGCATGCTTCGACGAGACACACTCTCCGCACTACTCCAATTTGGCTAATGGCGGCAATCGATCCTCTTGAAAACGAAGCACCAGCTGGCCAGGCCAGATACAATGGTGCCACAGCACTGTACATCTCAGCGCTTCGTGGCTATGTACTGCCGGCTTGAGTTTTGGGAAGACTCAGACACAGAACCTTTTGGGGTGGCTGGAGCGGGGGGAGAGGCCAAGCGGCTTGTCGCTTTGGCGATACTGGGTTGACATGAAACACAAGAATGCGTTACCGACATCCGTCTGCAAAGGGGTCTGGTAGTAGTGCTTGTAGCCGTAGTAGTTGCTCGTAGCAGTAGTAGCAGTAGTAGCAGTAGTAGCAGTAGGAGTAATAGCTTGGTAGTAGGAGGCGTCGACGTCGTAGTAGTGGTAGTAGTCGTAGTAGTCGCAGTCGTCGTAAAGATAGTAGTAGTAGTAGTAGTAGTAGTAGTAGTAGTAGTAGTAGTAGTAGTAGTAGTAGTAGTAGTAGTAGTAGTAGTAGTAGTAGTAGTAGTAGTAGTAGTCGTGGTAGTAGTAGTAGTAGTAGTAGTAGTAGTAGTAGTAGTAGTAGTAGTAGTAGTAGTAGTAGTAGTGATAGTAGTCGTGGTAGTAGTAGTAGTAGTAGTAGTAGTAGTAGTAGTAGTAGTAGCCGGAGCAGTAATGGTAGTAGTAGTAGTAGTAGTAGTAGGAGTAGTAGGAGTAGTAGGAGTAGTAGGAGTAGTAGGAGTAGTAGGAGTAGTAGGAGTAGTAGTAGTAGTAGCTGTAGTGGTAGCTGTAGTGGTAGCTGTAGTAGCTGTAGCAGTAGAAGCAGAAGTAGTAAGAGAAGAAGAAGCAGTGGTAGCAGCAGCAGCAGTAGTCGCAGTGGTGGTGGTGGTGGTGGTGGCCGTGGCCGTAGCAGTGGCTGTAGCAGTAGCGGTTGTGGTGGTTGTGGTTGTCGTTGTTGTTGTTGTGGTCGGGGTAGTTGTGGTTGCGGCTGTTGTGGTGATGGTAGTTTTGGTGGTTGTGGTTGTTGTGGTTGTTGTGGTGGTTGAGATGATTGTGGTTGTTGTGGTTGTGGTTGTGGAAGTGGCAGTTGTGGTTGTGGTAGTTGTGGTATGTTGTGGTTGTAGTTGCAGTTATTGCAGTTGTGGTTGCTGTGGTTGCGGTTGTGGTTAGCGGTTGTGGTTGTGGTTGTCGTTGTTCTTGTCGTTGTCCTTATCTTTGGCGTCGGTGTCGTAGTAGTTACTACCCTCATTGCAGGTCCCCATCGTGAAGCGACTGATGGTGGCAGGCCACAACCTTAGGATCAGAATTCGGAGCATCGTCGACCAACCTGACCATGCAATGGTTTTGTAAGACCGGTTAGGCATTGTTAGGGCAGTCAGGGAGCCGACTTCAGGGAGCTGACTTGCACTTCAGTCTGCGAGCAAGAACACGGGTGGTTGCCTTCAGCCTCGATGTCGGGCCAACTCGCTTCGCCTCGACAACTCAACTCGACCCCGTAACGATGTGGGAGCAGCAGCGGGCCTCACCTTCTAGAGCCTTAATCGCAAAACCGCAGCTCAGCTTCTCCCACCGCCACCCAACAGCTGGCAGGTCGAGGCTTTCAGAGCTGAAGAAATTGCCTTGGATACAAGGTGCAGACAAAGATGCAGCCACGCCCTCCGGCGAGACGGCACTCTTTGTGGCTACCTTGCGAGGGAAGGCCTCGCTGGTTGCTTGATTCCCTGCGAATGGGGCTCGGGTGCATGGTATTGGATGGTTTTTGAACCTTTCAAGGGAGCATCGAGTTTGCGGAGGCTTGGAAGCCCGAAGCACACAGAGACTGCTTGTTTGGGGTAGCAGCTCCTGCGTCGCCGGGCAAATCAGTGTGGTTGGGCCTTCTCGAGTGCGTTTCCTCCTTCGGTCCTTCAGTGGTTGAAACATGGCAGTGGGACGCGGGAATAATTTCTCCAGATGTAGCCTTTTCTCATCGATGTTAGCCGCACTGTAAGGCTGAGGCAACAAGACTGTCGTCGACTGTCGTGAGTCGTGCAGAACTCTCAGTGTTTATCACTGCTGCCTGGTTCCAGGCAAAACTTCCGATGCGAGTGCATGACCTGTTGAGCAGCCCAACAATCAGCCCATCAAGAACACGAGCAGCGGGCAAGTATGATTAATGGCAGAAGTTTTCAGGCTTGCGTTATGCTGTATTATTTGGATGGAACAGGGCTTCAATTGAAAGAACTTATCACTTGACTCGACTTTGTCTTTGCCAAGCTACAAGCTTTCCAGGACGAAGTCGTGCAGGCCCTCCTGGAAGGGAAGGCCAACGTCAACAAGGCTCCTTGGGACTTCGAGGTTTGGGCTGGGACCTACGCTTGTTGGAATGTTCTGTGTGACTTTACAATTTTGCAGCGGGCTTGGGACTTACATTCGCCCCATCCCCTGCAGCTTTTGCAAAGCTCTTGTGGCTTACCAAAGCGGCCGCTGCAGACGAACGGGGATCTTGTTGTGAGAGCTGAGCCGGGATCCGCGTTTACTCAGTTTATCATGTATCAGTTATATCAGCATCGGTATTTCATGGGAGTCTGTGAGTGCCCCCAGATTCCCTAGGCTGAAATCTGCGGGCTTCAGCGGAGTAATTGAGAAGCATGAGGCAACTGCAGATGGGGCCACGCCGCTGCTTGTCGCTTCACAGGAAGGCAGCGCATGCCATTGGCCTCTGGTGTTCTCCTATCGGCACAGCTTCCAGGCTAAGAGTCCCTCATGGGTCATGTCATGAGTCTTTAACGTGAGGAGCCATGGCCGAGTGGCCTTGGCCTGGACTTCTCCGTTCTTCTGCAGCCCTCCCCTCCTCCTCCGCTCCTCCTCACCTCTCGACTGCAGAGTGCGCAGAGTGCAGGCCGCAAGCAGTGTCTGCGGTTGTTGCTGGAGGCCGGCGCCGAGATGGCCTCAAGCTCGGCAAGGGCTCGGCGGGAGTTGTTGCAGACTTTTGGGCTCCGATTCTGGAAGCTCTCCCATCTTTGCGCTTCATCTTCTGACTGGCCGTTTTTTGTTACCATTGGGGCCTAATTGGGGCCGATCGTAATCTTGAGCGTGAAAAGCCGCAAACCTCACCATCTGTCTGTGCAAACCCTTTTCACTACCCAGGGCAAGCGGATGACAAGTGGTGAGACTCCGCTGGGGTTGGCCTGCCCTTTGGCTTCGATTCGCGATGGATGCGCCATTTCTTGGTTCACGATCTCCAAAGCTAGCTTTTTGGTACTTAATCACAGGAGGGAGGTGGGGCGGGGGGCTGCACATGATTGATTCAGAGGCAGTAAGGAGCCCAGCCTGAAGGTCTCTTGTCCAGCATGTTTGGAATGCTGTGGCACAGTGCATGCATGCTGTCTCGACCCTGCGAGATCGGCACGATGTCACTACTTGTAGGTTCAACCAGCTTTCTGATTCTGTTGCAGGCGAATTTCGTAACAACTGTCAGCATTCAGCAAGCACAGTTGGTTGCCCCTACTACCCTGAGCACATCACCGGCAATATGTCCTTGACCAACTAGGAGGCCCGAAGCTGGAAAGAGCCGGCCGGAACTTGCCAATATAATTAGGAGACCCTTTATTTGTATTCACATTGACAAGACTCCGCCACGTTCGATTGGCTCTTCCTCCAGCTCGGCATTGAGTTTCGGTCGGTGCGACTGTGCCACCTGCTCAGGCTTACAGGCTTACAGTTGCAACTCCATGGTATAAGCCACTTCTGCCGTCAGTGCGTCCGGTATCGTCTGTACTATATTTGTACTATATAATCATAATCATTCAGAGACTGTTAAGATCAACAGTTACTGTAAGTAGATAAGACGGGAGATGTTGCATTGCTAATTGCCAGCGTATTCAAAAAGCTTCCAATTATTGCCAAGCTCAGGCAGTGAGGAGGTGAAGGATCTCTTCTTCACCACGAAGCCGCCACACTCGCTTTTGAGGCTGCTACCAACTACAAGAGCCCTAGCCTTGACTGCCCTTGAGACTCACCCCCCGAACTGCCGGCTCCTTCTCAAAGGGACAAGATTGGCCTGCCTCTTGAGTTTTGTTCTGGACTGCTGTCGCCCTAAACCTTTCATGCAATTGAAATAGCCGTCGTGGGCAATTTTTCGTCAAAGCTGCAATCCTGCTCGTCATGTCCTACGTCGACTGGGGTCATGTTCTCTTAGCTTGCCTACCCAATGGTGTAGGTAGTCAATGGGTCCCATCTGTGAAAATCAGGTGGGGACGTACTTATCATTTGCCAACGCAAGCAAGGCTTCTCCCAAGGGGGCACATAGAACGCATCTTCCCCATTCATCACAACTACCGTTGTCAGCCGGCAAGCTTGGTTCGATCAAGCGCAAGGTTTCTGAATGCGTGTTTGGGCTTTGTAAATCTTCTTCCTGAATTGTCAATCCCTCCAGCACTGCAACTCGTTACCCACAGCCTAGCATTTTCTTCTAAGTTCATCTGCCCATGTGCCGTGTGCCGGAGGCGCCTCCACTCGCCCTGAGTCTGCGAGAAGTATCGGCCTGTACATAATGTTTGTGTGCTTTGCTCATCGGAGCTGAGGCTTCATGTCTCGGACTGTCACAGCACAGTCTCCAGGCTTGCCTGACAACGCAGTCCGCTGCAAAGCCGTGCGGAAATGCTTGGCTGAGTCTCAGGACCTGCAAGCGTGTTGTCGCTCATAGAATGGAGCAACAAAGCTACTGCAGACGTCCAATCTATTTTGCGGCGACACACCATGGATAGAAGGGCCTTGGATGGCCCTTCAGGAGCAGCTCTTCACCGCAGAAGTCTTCGAGCAATAGAATGCAACAGATATTTACGCCTGTGAGATCCAGTGTTCCTGGATTCCACGTGTGAATGAGTTCTGCATGATTGTGACTGTGGTATCGCCAGCAGAGATGTAGCTGACCAGGTCAGAGCCTCCAGACCGATGTATTATCAGGGTCCAACCACTGCTGTCTTTCGTCCTTCCCTCCCTTTCATACCAGTTGTTTCCGGCTGCTTCGATTGTTCCTGCCATGCTTGCTTGGCTTCGTGTGACCGTCGGACTTATTGTCGCAGTGGCTGGCTGCATGTATGTTTGCTTGTTTCTGGTATTGCGGTTGTCGTTGGTGTTAATTTTGAGCTGCTGCTGCCCCTGGTGGTGGTGGTGGTGGTGGTGGTGGTGGTGGTGGTGGTAGTGGCGGTGGTGATGGTGTTGCTGTTGCTGATGTGATTGCCTTCGTGCTGTTGCACTTGCCATGCCGCTGCTTTTGGTTCCTGCCGCGGTGTTGACTCCTGCCGTCCTTGGTCTCATCGGTTTTGTGTCCTCTTCCCGTCTTTAGTCCGGTGGTTGCGGGTTTTCCGATTTCCACTGCTGTTGCTGTGCCAACCACTCATGGTCATTGCTACGTGTCCTTCGCACTAATACTGAAGACTTTCGGCTGGGTCGGTCTTTCTTATCACTTGAGCTTGCGGCGGTTTGCTTAGTGCATACTTGCGTCCTATATGCCTGCACCCCAAGCTCAAGTCTCGAACGCAGTGGTGTCTTTGGCTTTCGGTGCTTGAAACGAGGCAGAAGCACGATAAATACAAAATGGGAGTGCCAAGGTTTCCCAACAATATGAAGCACACTCGCCAGCTGAACGTGAGACAGAATGCTTGACACGCCAGGAGAATGGCGATCTCCGACAGCTCTGCGGGGGATGCAAAAAGCAGGATTGACACCTCATGGTTTCGGCGAGAGAGAAGTGGTTGAGGCACTGGTCCAAGCTTCAGGGTTCCAAGAGGTCGTGCAAGTGCGATCGGATGTTCGGCAAACGTGGGACTGTGGAACATTCGAGTCTGCACCGTCCGGAGCTTGACCCAGCAGCAACCAACGCATGCTAGACGGCATTTTGTGCAAAGAGGTTGTGGATTTGAAGAAGCGAACATGTCCAGCCCAAGCGGAACTGTCCGTCAACATGCTGCTTCCGTGTGTAGCACTGCTGTCTTAAGCTCTACAAGCCGTGACCGCAAGAAGCCCAAGCCAAGGTTGATCTTCCACAAGCTGACCTGGGTACAGGCAGACTCTTCTTGCGGGGCTTGTGCGACACGTGTCATGGCCACGATTCACCCTTCCTTAGGCCTTGTGGGCAGCTTGTGGGGCCGACCCATTTATGACATAGCGGGAGGAAGTTCGACCGAAGTAGGGTTTGGATCTGTTGTGTTGAGTGTCCCAGACTGACTCACCTTTGGGCATCGCTCAGCGGCCGGCCTGGACTGCGGCTTCCCTGTATCCTGTTGTTTAAATAATATGCATTTACACATACGTGCCAAAGGTAGAACACCCTGAGATGGCCACCCTGCCGAACCCTCCCCTCTCCTCCCTCCCTGTCGATCGCTCTCTCACCGTCTCGGTCTGTCTATCTATCTATATCTATCTCTCTCTCTCTCTCTCTCTCGATACTTTGCCCTAAGATCTTCTTGCTGCAGCTGCATGCGAAGATGCTGGCGTGATCCTCGGAGTCGGTTTAAAGTACAAGGGTCATGCCCAAGCTGCAGAAGGAGTTTTTTCATGTCGGACGCCTTGTGCAGAAGGCGATTGAGTGGCGTCAGGACATTGGATAGCCGCCAAGCTGAAAATGCCAGGGAAGCCAGCACTCTCCCCTCCTGATCCAATTGGTAATTTGACAATCTGCATATGACTACGCAGTAGGAGTACCTTTTCAACCCTTTTGTCAACGACTTTGAGCCGTGTAGTTCGGAGAGACTTTTGTGAATGTCACCAAGCTGTCAACAATGCCAAACGCGGTGAAACAGGCTAGGGCAGCGGCTTCAAGAAAAGCAGAACAGCCATAATCGCCCATAGTCGTGATACTGCAAATCATGTCTCGAAGCTAACTTGGCATGGGTTTTGTGTCCAAATTCTGGTCAAACGAGCTTGAATTTGGCTTACGAACGTCAACATTGCAACTAGCACCACCTTCCACATGGTTGCTTTCAAGTTAAACTTTCAAGGGTGTAGTAGTCTCCAAGTTCAGAATTCAAGCAGTGCGGAAAGCCTTGGTTGTGGAAAAATCAGTGCAAATTCGCTGTGCAGATTTCAGAATGGATTCGATTCACCAAATTTCGCCTGCAATGGCCTTGAGGCTCATTTCTAGACCGGATCGTGTCGCAACCTAAGAAATCATTAGCCCAAATCCTGCCCGAAAACAAGTAAGTGGCTCGGCAAGGGCTGGTGTAGGCAGTTCATTTTTAGTTTCCGTCCGTTCAATGAGGTGGACAGTTCAACCTGCATCATGTGTGTTGCAATACATGTGTGTTGAGATCTCTTTCCGTCCTACATAGGTCGCACAATAAGCCGGGAAGCAAAGATAGATTCTCGGCCGTCTGTTTCCGAGTGCTTTTGCTGAGGACGGGTCCAAGCGAGCCCCACCCGAGATTTCCCTAAGCCACCACAAAACAGGCAGCGCTAGCGGCTAGATTGCCATAAACGTAACTGCAGCACTAGGACTAGCCTCAACCATGCTCTGGAACAACCCGGTGACATGCTATGGGTTTCGAGCCAGGTATGTATACTGGTCTGACAAAAGGTCAAGCCAAGCCCCTGGTGCAGCTGATGAACGAGCGGCTTGCGACCAGGCAACGGCACCTAAGGCTGTGGGTTCATCGTTTGGGCGCGGCTTGGGGCATGTTTTGATTTCCTTTGGCCTGTGTTGTCGACAGCTTCTCGTCATGCACATCGACAGGTGTGGACGCTTAGCAGCCTGAGGCTACAAGTGATGCGTGCTTGTTTTCGGGTTCAGAAGTGGTCTGTTTGGGGCTGGTTGGCACACTTCGCTCTGGCTCAAGCTGCACGCTTCGAATTTCCAGCAGGCCGCTAGAAACCCACAGTTGGCAGAACCTGGGGATCGGGTCAGAGATATTAGATCGTGAAGGGCTTGGAAACGTAGGCACAAAACGAATGGTAAAGGCAAGACTCAGTCAGCTTTTCTGCTGTGGGCCTGAGCCCAGCCACCTGGGTATCTAAGCTTGTCACCGGATGTCACCGGATAGTCTTTGCAACTCGAATTTAAGTGGGTTCCGAAGCAGATACCTGGTAGAAATCAATCACCAGCAGCATAATCGCACCGTGCGCCAATCTAGAGATGTTCGAGATGGGCACGCAGGCCAGACAGGTGAAGAATGGTGGGTCGGTGTGGGTCTAGGAGAACCGTCCGAATCCTCTGCGATGATGCGGGTTCACGCACTTCGAATCCTTGTGGCTGCCACGCCACTGGCTGCTGGAAATCCGCTGGATCCATCAGATTTGATGACAGCGATGCTTTGCTCTGCAATGATCGGCTCGGGGTGACGGGAGAAGGTTCAGGCTGTAGCAATTTGGATTCTGCACCCGGCAGCCCTGCAACTGTCCATCCAAATGTCCAGAATGGAGTAAACCAACTGTCCAGTGGGCACGCAAGCCCTGTTGCAAAACAGCTTCTTGAACCTAAGGAGTTTATTGAAAGTTTATTGTTTAGAGGTGCGGACGAGATGGAATACAGCTTTGTTCGGCTCTGGACTTGCTCAGTACGCCCAGCGGCTTCTTCCAAGAGTGTAGAGCTCGGGCTTGAACGCTAGATACTGACTAAGCCGCAAGTACTCTGGGAAGGGTTTTGCGGTCTGCACGCATCCGAAATCCTAGCTTGCTGGCGTTGGCTTGACGAGCCTGGATCGTGAAACGAAGGTCGCGGTCAAACTTTGAACCCGCGGCCCCCCACGTGTCTTCGGAACCTCTTCTTTGGCACTAAACAAGCGGTGCTGCATCCAGGAAGGTTTGGTTGGACAAGCACATCTACAACGGTACCCTGGGATCGTCGAAGTCTCCGCATGGCTATCGGATATTTCGGATGCAGGTGGGCGGCCCGTGCTGGGGTTCCCGTAAAAGGAGCAACCGTGGTCCTTCTCGTGATGACCGCTGCCACACTAGGACATGTGCTGGATGCTTGCCCTGCAGATTTGGGTTGTGCATGGATTCCTTGTAGATGCAAACCTGCAGTTGTTGCATATCCGTTTGTGCTTGTTTATTATGTTTTAAGCCGGTCGTCTGCATCGCTGTCGGAAGAATGCGAGCAGGCAAGAACTGTTTGCGTGTTGGCCTCTCCTATCTGTGTCGATGCCCGTGCGTTCGTTGACGTGTTTGAGTGCTCTGCAGGGTCATCCTGAAAGGGCACAGCAATTCCCATCCGCGCGCCCACCATTGGTAAGCCTTACGTGGGCTAGGGCTGGGCCGATGGTTCACTATTAGGCCTGGGTTGTGGTAATTAGACTTCTTGGCTGCAAGCCTGTGCTGCTGGAGACGTTGCGTGTTATGCCGCTATGCCATCTCGGCTCTGGCCCTGAAGTTTGACTGCAGCATGAACGGCTAGGTTTTTGTTTCCGGATGCATGTTCTCAGCGCAAGCAACTTGTGGTTCAACAACATCGCCGATCGTGAGGCTGAGCTCCCGTTAGGTAATGATTTTCATGGCGGACAGACACTACTTGGTCGACTACCCGCGGCCATCTCCCGCCACGATCGCAAGCCGCGAGACAAGCAAGGTCTTCTTCACAGAGCACACACAGCAGAATTTAGGCTCAGTTTCTCTTGGTTCACTGGAATCAGGATGGGCATCGGATGTCTGGATGTAGAATGGTGTCACGATATGCCATATGTCATCGCTAGCGAAGCGCGAGTTTGCCCCTGCACCGAGTTGTGAACGCTGAAACTCGAAGAAACCCCAAGAAACGAAGCCAGGTCAATCCGCGCCATCTCCCAAAACTGCCAGCTCTTAGGAGCTGTTCGAGGGATTGTAGTATAGGCCGGATCCTTGGAAAACTAATTCTGCGGAAGCCGTTCATGGCATTAAGAAGGCTTACGAACTTTTGTCGGTTTGTTAATGGTTCGGAGGCAGGGAAGGGGCGGAGGAAGAGCGAGGCAAAAAACAGCGTGATGCAGGCAGCACGCTCCGGGGTGGGGGGAGTCCTCCCGGGTGTGCATTTGCGCGGGTCGGTAGACAGGAGGACGAGGCCTTGGGTTGAGAAGTTCAGTGGGAATTTTGCACTTTCCGAGCAGTGATGCCCCAGTGCAGCCTGGCCGTGGCGCTCGGAACCCTTTGCCTAAGGGTGTTAAAGTTTCCCATTCATCAGTGCCGAAGCCATTGGTAGTTTGGCTGCTGTACTTTGGCTCAAGTGCGAACGAGGTTTAAGGCATCAGGTTTCGTGCTGGGCACTTTGTCTTGCTGCACGAGCTCAAGGAATATGGCTCTCCCAGCATAAGCCACATGCACATGCTGTGCCACGCATCTAACCGACATCCTCACTCAATAAGGGATTTCGGCTCAGCGCTCCTATCTTTACTGCGGCCGCAGCTATCGAGGTTCGGCGTGTAGCTGATCGTAACTTCCACCTCCATCTGCCACCCCGGAAGCTCTAATTTTCATGTAGTTTGCAGCGAGACAGTTTCCCGACCCATGGCAAGAGCATGAGAGATGTCTGGACTGCTGTTCGCGTTTGGAGAGACTCCGGTGAAGAGGTGGCTGCCATTCCTCTCGAAGAGGCTTCTGATGTGAAGGCTTTGAAGCAGCGCCTACTAAAGCAGTGTCAAATGCCACGCTTCCGACAAAGACTGTTCCACAAGGGTTCTTTCATGAAGGATGCCACGAGGCTGACGTCGCCAATCGACGTGAAACTGACTTTGGTGCCATTTGTCTCCGCCTCAAAGCAGCAGGTCCGCGACCTCGCAGAGGCTTCGCAGAAGGGCTGGCTTTCCAAAGTTGAAGACATATTGAAACGTCCGCAGGACCCAGATGGGTTGGCGGCACCAGATGGATATAGAGCTCTCCACTATGCATCTGCAAACGGTCACACTGAAGTCGTTCGCCTACTCTTGGAGGCAGGCGCCAAAATAAACAAGCGCACGGACGACCGGGTGACGGCACTCTGTTGCGCTGCCAATGGCGGTCATGTTGAGACGGCACGCTTGTTGCTGGAGGAAGGTGCCGATGTGAATGAGGTGGATGAGAGCGACTCGAATGCCCTCAGTTGTGCATACTTTAATGGACACTTGAACGCTGTTTGGTTGCTGCTGGAAGCTGGTGCGGACATGCGACGGGACGTCGTGAAGTGCATTGCAATTGAAGCTGTATTCATCACCCCCTTGCTTTGCGTCATGGCTGTCCTCTACATCGTCTCGTTGTTTTACAGCATGTATATTCCCCTTTTTTGGTTGGATGATCGGTATGCAGTTTTGGGGTGCTTCCTTTCTCCGATTTTGCTACTGATCCTGACATGGCTGTACTTGCGGACCAGGCCAATCATCTTCTGGAAGCCGATCCTTTGGGTGTACATACCGGCTTCCCAATTTTGGAAGCATATAGTTTCATCTGACGCAGACAAGCTCGACTGAGGAAAACATGCGTGTAATCTCGAAACCAATGATCGCCCAGCTGAAGCTGCATGGGGCTACCCTTCGGTCTTGAATCTCAAAGGGGTGACGGCTTTGAGTTTGCAAGCCCAGGGAAAAAGGCACGCCGCTTGCTGTGACCGCCTTGTTATCTGGGGCGGCGTGGGATGCTTCGACGACTTCCAAAACTCCCCCATAGAAGCATCCCAGCATAAACCGCAACCTTGTTTGTTGACCCATGCGCCCATGCACGCGCTGTGCGATGCAGGACAGATGCCTTGCAAGGTGGAGACAACCAAGAACTGAGAGTTTGCGCTGCGTGGCCTCCGAATCGCGGGTCCGCGACCTCTGAGCCCTCAAGATCCGACAGTCACTGCCAAACGACTCAAAGCTGCGTAGGGAAAGAGGTGATTCGACCAAGACGTCGTGGACTCCCGATGCAGTATACCACTTCTTGCGCAGGGCAGCTTGTGCTTTCCCACATCTTGTGGGTTGCCGAGTCTACAGTCTGCCTGTGGCCGAGTCCCCTTTGCAGAAGCAGAAAGGGGCACGGATGATCTGCAGAGTGCCGGGTCCCAGGGCCGTAGTTCTGTAGCCAAATCTGACGCTGATCCGTCTGGCTGTGTTCCTCGACCCGACCGTCTCAAAATTTGCCCGACACCTCCTGCATGCTTTTGGGACCATTGGACTTGGCGCCAGGAGACGAAAGCCCGAGAGCAGGGTCTGACTTGGCCATTGCGACTCTGCTGCAGAGTTTGGATCAGCTCGTTCCGCGGGCACGGTTGAATTTTCGGAAAGATGTGGACGGCCTGTCTTTAGGGCTTGCAGCCGACGACTGGGAACCCATCTTCCATCCACACGGTGTGCGAAAAGGATTCAGAAGTATGTTTTTTTGTGCAGGGATTCCCCATGGGGCAATGTTGGAAGACGTACAGCAAGCACAGCTTTGAGAGATTGAAACTTCCGATGGCTTCAGTACTTGAGCCCTTGCCAGCGTATACTTCGTGCGATCGCTAAAAACGCACTTGAAGATCAGAGTGACTCGCCTGAAGAGTCCGAGCATTTTTCTGTTTGCCACTATGTTGGAATCGGGGATAACCGGGGCGTAGTGCAATTAAGGATATGTCTGATGTTTTGTTAGTTTGATGATTTTCGTTTAACTTACACATTCGATATGACAGAGTGTTCGTCTGCGTTTGGGCTGAGGGTGTTTGCTTTAGCCTCGATGTGGCAAGAGCACTGCGTGAGGTTGCCACGTGTGAGTGTGAGCTTCGCTGAAGTTTCTAAGGCTTATAGGCTCAGTCTTGAGAAGTCTGACTGCGCTGACCACGACCAGTTAGAGCTGAAGGTACCGAGGTTTCCAAAACGATCACAAACAGGAGCCTTACAGTAGCTACAAACAACACAATCTTCGCGAACTCACAAAAAAACACACTGTGAGATCATGAATATCTGGGCTCCGAACGACAACGTCCGTTTTCGTCAGCATGCGACGCGCAGGGACTGGCCTACGCTGTGCTTCCTGGGCCTCGGGCCAGCTTCCATCGACCTCTTCGTCTCCATGGCGGATCCCTCAAAAGAAGCGAACGTTCAAAGCCAATCAGCGAGCAAGAAAAACCCTGCGCAGCCGCTTTCGCTTTTGGATTTCAGGCGAAGGTCTTTCCAGAGCTGCGGCTGGTTGTCTTGGAACTGGAGGAGCCCCTCTACCTGGATCTGGCTGCCAGAGAGCTGGGCTTGCAGGCAGATGGCTGCTGTCGTTTTCAGACACGCACACACAGATTGGCGGAGCAGTCAGCATGCACTTTCAACTTGTGTTTACATTCCCCAGCGCTTGCTGTCGCTTGCCGCTGACATGAGTTGGCCAAGCCTTAAAACGAGTTCACAACCTCTCCAACGCCTGCATCGGAGAGCAGTCGGCTTGGTGAAGGTAGAAATCGTCCTTGTCTGCATTTTGCTTTGCTCTGCGGGACTGACGCAGGGAGCTGAGTACGCAGGTGACCGTTGAGTGCTGGGGGCAATGGTCTTGTGTCGTCAAGTCGCAGTTGTCGTTGATACCGTGAGTCCCACATTGCCATTGCCGCGAGTTACAAAATCGCTTAACCGGATCCTGCGGCAATAGCGATGCGCCAAAGTGTACTTTCCCTGTGCTGTGCTTGAAAACGACCTGTGCATGAGCCTTTGCTGGCAGGCCAGCGACATGGACGTGTCGCGGCTCGAGGACTTCGTGGAGAGCCGTGGTGCTGAGCGCCGCAAGTGCGATGCTCTACACTGGTCGTTGGACACACCGCACTTCTCTTTCTACAGGTGTGCGCCGAGAGTCACAGCGACGTCATGATGAACCAAGGTAATGACAGACTGGTACATAGCGGCCGGAGGGAGCAGATAGTTGCAGAGGAGTAGGACGAGTGATCGGCAGTGTCAGAAGAAAACAAGCAGCAGTAGTAGTCGTCGTGGTGGTAGTAGTAGTAGTAGTAGTAGTAGTAGTAGTAGTAGTAGTAGTAGTAGTAGTAGTAGCGATATTCATAGTTAGTAACAGAATCGTCGGCGAGTGGCAGTAGCAATTAGCAATAGTAGCAGCAGTACTGCGTGTTGTTTATGGTGCTGGTGCTCGTGGCAGTGGTGGTGGTATTAGCAGTCTCAGAGGTCGGGGTACTGAGCCGTGGTGGTGGTGGCAGTGGTAGTGTTAGCGGCGGTGTTGGTGCACCAGTGGTGGTTGTGGTCGAGGTCGTGGGTGCGGCAATGGAGGTTGTACTACTACTGCTACTCTTACTCCTGCTACCTTGCAGTACTAGTGCTCAAACCTCTCCACACTTGTTTTGTCACGAGCTGCGCTGAAGAGCGGTGGGGGTCATAAGCCGCAAGACAAAAGTTGCGCGACCGACCCCCCACAACATGACATGCCCAAAGAGAGCACGGAGCGGCAGCCACACCCCCGGACACGCGAATCGGGGGCCGACGCACCGAACGGCACGGACCACAGCCTTTCTGGCTGCCCCCGCGCAGTCAATACCCAACACAGCCAGCTGGCATCAGCCCCAGTGACCTGGGGACCAAGCTGGGGAAGCGCCAGTGTGGATGTGTGCAGACGTTCGGGGACATCAAGAAGATTACCTTGCAAGACGTCAAGGCATGACTGCGCAAAAGTTACCAAGGTTATCTTTGGAGGAGGCTGGCCTGGCAAATGAAATGGCGCCCCTTCTGGTCGCAAACATCCTCGGGGCCGGATAGATGCAGCTGCGAAGCTCGAGAAAGCGAGTGCCGCAGTGCACTTGCCACCGTGGGGGCTGGTGGACATCTATGATGATTATGAGAATCTTTTGGTGAGCCAGGAAATCTTATCTTGGACCGCGTTACCCACAAAGACCATGGATGTTGGCTTGCCCTCAACAGCTTTTCACTTCATGTCACCGGCCGTGGCACCGCATCATCTGGGGGACGTCGACAAAGAAGATCCCCGCCTCTAGCTTCTTTCCTCTTTCCTGAAGCCTGGATGCCAGAAGTTGGGCAAGCCGGGGGAGGCCTTTGCCAGCTGCAGACGCCCCGAGCCCGAGCAGGTGCAGCCGAGCACGGCTGTCGTGGAGGAGCTGGATTTGCGAACCCTTCGCAGGCGGTCGGATTGAACTATTTTCGGGCGAAGCTTGTGACGGAAAGGGAACCGAACGTTGCCCCTTAGCGAAAGTGGGCAAAGGCAAGGAGCAGTGGAATCACTGATTGTGGGCACTGCGGTGGCGAACTGTTGCCCGCATAAAGCCCCAAGTGATCCTCTTTGTCAGGTTTCTTCACGGCCCTCGTATCGGTGGTACTCATTACGAAGGGGAGGCGCTACCCGTCGGACTAGCAGCCTCTCCAGTCTGCTTAAAGGGCAGATGGCCCAACTTTCCGAGTTGCAAGTTTCCGCAACGAAAATGCGACTCTTGAGGCAAGACCGGACTTCGAGTCTAAGTGACCTCCCCGCCAAACCACTCTGTGTCCATCTTTCCGCCTTCCTCACCTCACTCGTGAGCGGCAACTCTTAGCTGCATCGAAATGGGGTGGATGCCCCAACAGCTCGCAAGCCTGGCGCAGACCACCAATCATCTCGATGATGAGGACGCCGTCGCACGCTCCAAAAAGCTCATCACCTGACCCCAGCAAGTGGCACTTCGCCTACCCACCGGCTGAGAGCCCTGTTGAGACGCGGGCTCCTCCTCCTTCCAGCGAGGCATCCGTGGCATGGACGCTTGGTGAAATTTGCAACCTCTGGTCCACGCAGTGCATTGGAGATTGACGAGATGATTGTCAGAAGTTCATCCTCCGCCTCGAGGCTCACATCTCTGTAGGTCTGGTCGAAAAGGCAGGCCAGGGTGCGGCAAGACTGAACCGAGGAGGGCATGGCCTCACCAACCACGGACGGAAGGTCCTGAGATGCACGAGGCTCAGCAGGCTTAGCGCTGAGCATCCGAAGCATAACCCCCAAGAGCCGTTCCACGCCGATCCGACCAGCCCGTGGTCACCAAGCTGCTCAGCTCCCAAAGACTTCAAAGAACTCCAGGATGACGTGCCCTCAGCCGCCTTCTTAGGATCATGGCCGACGTTCCATGGATTGAAGACCTGCGATGACTGCCCTTCGTAGATCCCTGCGTCGCAGGCTGCCACCACCTTGAAACCATTGTAGTGAAAAAAGGGTGCTTGCATTATGTGCTTCGGTCTTAGTGCATGCATGACAGTGAGCGTTGTCAATGAAATCTATGAAGGGAAAGCGTCCTGCATCGTTGCTGCATCAATCAAGTGCAACATGTCTTGAGATGTGTGATCTAGGCCCAAAATACTTAGCTCCTGGATGGAACTCAACTTTAGCTGCCTTTCCACGGTGCGCAAGTGGATTGGGCGCTCGCTGCTCTTGAGCCTGCTTGCAATGGCCATGTGGTTGGTCAGACGCAAAAGGGCGCAGAGGGGCAAGGCGATATGCTGCGGGTGTAAGAGTTGCCGCAGTGCCACTTACGCAATGGTAGCAAGATGCAGTGACGGGTACTTCTACAGCCCTCAATGCTGGCACCGGCATGATGTGCCGAACATTGTGCGGCATGCGAAAAGTGTGATGTACCCACCTGCTCCTGAGCAATGTTCAGTTTGCAAGACGCTTGCAAGCGGACTTCTATTACCCGCGTTGCGGAGCTACAAGTGGTCGGACCCAGAGTGGGCTGTGAAGAGTAAGAAGAAGCAGCTGCCCTCTTGGCAGTGTGATCAGTGTTTTCGAGAAGAAGAACAACAGAAAGCCATGCTCAATGCTCTATTACAACCTGGCCGTCGTTGCTGCGACACCCTTGTCCAAGCCCCTGCGCTCCTTGCTGGGTGTGAAAGTGTATGTGACAGACTTTCAGTTCCCTACAGAAGGGGAAGCAGGAGGCCTGCAGAAGGTGCTGACAGACCGGCTCCGACAAAGCTACGGCCACAGCCTGCATGTGAAGAATGGCGTTGATGCCGCAGATCCACAGATGCTTACTGAGCACCGTGATGGTAACACACCCACGGTTGTCATCTTTGGCAGTCCACATATCAACACTTTGGGAGAAAGTCAGCCTGTTGCTCAGCTAAAGCAACCGTGGGCCATGAGCAATCCAGAGTGGAAGCTGCAGTCCTTCAGGTATTTGGCCTCGCAGTTTCCAGAGAGCATCATCTTCTGTCCTTTCAGTTGCCATCATAGCCTAGGCAAGCTGCCCTGTCTCTCTGAGATGTTGCCTAGCCGGAGTCGTGACGGGACCATGGTCTCTGAGCCGCTTGCATCACATCCTGCCCATCTGCAACGATTTTGTCACTCGGGAGACGTTGACGTCTTAACCACTACATTCTTGCCGAGCAGTACCCCCGAAGAAACTGCTGACAGGCTTGATCTTCGGGCAGAAGTCATCAAGGCATGCGAAACGAGCATGCTTGAGCAGGGTAGCGCCTCCCTGTTGTTTCTGGGGGAATACACGGCATCATTGGCGTACACAATGCTCATGTGAAAAAACAAGTGACGCTCTGCTCGGCTTGCAAGGATTAGCCTATCTTGTTGCGTGTCAATCAGTTACTGCAGGGAACCTGCAAGTACTGCTGCCCACGTGCTCCTTGCAGGAACGTGCGTCCTCCGCACGCCTTTGAGCACGTGCGGACGGGTTGCCGGCAACTCACTTGGCTGGTGCGGTGCAGGCATGCTGCACCGGCTATTGCATCGAACTTGAATCGGTCCCGTCGTTTGTTACTTTGAGGATGATGCTTGGTCAGCGGCCGGCGAGGCGATGGCCGACACACAACCGCGGACGGCGTTGGCAGAGGCAAGGGCAGTAGACGACACCTGGCCCAGTGGCTGGAAGGGAGCATCTGGGTGTTTTTGGAGGGAGTCTCTGCGGAGTTCGATGTGCTGATTGGGGCGGGCCTCGTCGCCTGCAGGCTCCAACTGGGGGGAGAGTCGGGAGAGTCTGGTGACAACCAGGAAACACTGGAGCCAGAACAAGTAGTGGCAATGTTTGACGAGCCCAGCAAGGGCGAGGTGGATATCAAATGGAGCAGAACGCTCCAAAAGCTGGAGCTTCAGGGCATGGACAAACCAGGCCGATGCTGGTGGTTTCCAGTTCGGAGGGAGCCTCTTCATCGCCTCAGAAGCCCTGGCAAGAGGGCAAGGTAGCCTACTGGGAGAGGCTTCAGCTGTGGATCGCGCAGCGCCAGGAGCGCCCGCTCAAGCCTTCGCAGCTCAAGCTTTTCCTCCGCATTCCTCCGCCAAGTGATAAACATGAAGGACCACGTTGATGTGGCGGATTTCCAGGCAAGGTTGGAGGCCTTGGTCGTGGGGCATGCTGTGGATCTTGTTCCGGTTAAGGCTGTCCTTGAAAAGGCCAAGGCGAAGGCGAAAGACTGGAGAGAAAAGAGGCAAGAACAGTATCAAGCTTGGCTGCAAAGTGCCTGTGAAGGAGGCATGAGGGGGCATGGCCAAAAAGGCCTGTGGACCGGATGGCCTGACGGCTCAGATGCTCAGGGCTCTGAGCCCCAACCCGGTTGCTCTGGTGGCCGATTCTTTCCCAATGTGTTGGCCACGGGTGTGATGCCTGAGTCAGTTGCGATGTCCTTGGTAGCACTACTTCCCAAGAAAGATTCGGAAGAAAGACCGATTGCCCTCACCCTTTGCGTACCTGGTGTAAAACCAGGTACCCTTTGCGTGACGCGTGGGCCCAACAGAACCAGGAGGTGTCCCCGTGGGACAGAGCAGGTAAAGGTCTATCCTCGCTGGAGGTAGCGGTCACCAGAGTCATGACAGGAGAAGCGCGCAGACACAACCAGAAATCTGGTGT